AATCCATCAAACATGCTGTCAGGCAATAATGATGCCTCACATGCTGTGGACCAGAGCTGTCTAGAGACCAAGGAGTTCTCTCTGTACAGAGTTGTTCCTATAGATTACAGACTGTGATAATTAACCTGCCTGCTATAGCTTCCTTATTGATGTTCTGGTAGCAGCCTGTCAGAATTGTGGCAAAGTGACTGGACATTGGAGTCTTTATTACAAGGTCTCTGATGTAGTGACACCAATCTGTGAGAGGCTGCTTGGATTGTTGCATTATGATGTGCTACTTTAATATTCAATCACAGAATAGTATATCCAGTCAATCTGGGGGGGGGGGATTACACAAAGATATTGCACTGTGTAAAAGCAGAGAGACATGTGCTGGTTATAAGATGGATGGTGAAGAGGGGAGGTGAGGCGGCGCAACTGGGACTATTCAAAAGAGAGATGGATAGAGGTAGTGAGCAGGGAACAAACATTCCCCTCTAGCGAGCACACGACTCAGCATCCATCTGCACACCCCTAAGCCTCCCTCCCATCCATCACTCCCTCACCGCACCTACCTCCCGCTTTCATCTTACCTCGCGTTACCCCCGTCCCTTTCTCCCTAACTTGTCTCAGGCAGAAGTGCGGATGGGATTCAGCAGTTTCTTAAGCACACAAGATGTCATTCACCCCGGTTGGCAATCCATCTTCCGCTGTATCTGTGGAGAGCATACGGGCAGGGGAGCGTGTGCACAGACGTGGGCTGGCAGTGGGTGGCTGTGTGGGTGGATGGAAGTTAGCGATACATCGTGGACTACATGGTGTTCCTCTGTGTCTTTGCCTCTTGGCAGGAGTTATGATAACCCATTTTTAAGTTTTGCAGTGTTAAGTGTTGCTTGGCCTCACTTCAGGGGTAGCAGTGTTGGTTTTTAAACTTACACCTGTAATAAACATACAGTATTCAGCCTGTTCTCACATTCAAACTGCATTGCAAGTTCCTGAAGCTGTCCTGATCAGAAACACATAAGATAGAGTGGGGTGTTGTTGCTCTCACTGAGCGGGTTGTGTTGTTGGTCAGTCCAGGCTGGTTTGTTGGGAGCCTGCCAGGGATGCTGCTGCCCAGCTGGTGGCTGCTTGCTGTTAGCGCTGCTGGATGAATTGAGTGGGAAAATTAAGCCTTTGATCGATTGTCTCACTGCGGACGTTAGGAATACCTAAAACAGCCATGAGTCAGCGTGCTGCATGCACCATCATTCTGTTTTCTTCCTCTCTTTTCACTCTTTTTTGTCCTTCACTCCCCTTCTTTCCTGTCTCTCTCTCTTCTGTTTCCCTTTCTTCCCTAAATGTCAGCTTTTGGTGTCAGTCCCATAGAATCAAAGAGCAAAGTCTTCTTTCTAGTCTCACCATTTTGCACTGACATTTTACAGTTTTACAAGGAAAAATCCATCAAAGAAGAAACAGATAAGAAATTCTCCATGGATAGTAGCCTAAATGAACCTACAAGGTAGTTACACCTCCATCTGTAGTCAGATACAATGCCCTCTTGTAAATGTACTTCCTTGTTATCTGAACAACCATGCACTGCTTTCCACCACAGCATCTTCTTTTTCCAATCTCATTTTGGAAGAAGAAATGTGATACACATCTGCTTTGGTTATTGTCCTCATGTAAACGGCCCGACTCTGAGGTGGACCCAAGTACAGTGAGTCACTGAAGAGCTGGATCATTTCCAACTGCTGAATATAAACCACAGAAGCAGGTAGAAGAACTCCTGCCAACAGGACAGACCTAACTAGACTAACTTAAAGTAATCCTACTCAAACCTGAAGGCTAAGACTATAGAATAAAAAATAGACTATATAAATAAACTAAAAGAATAAAATTAGCTTATGGAAATCTGAGAAGCATATCTGAAATGCTTATGCTTCCTATTCAAGCTATTATACTTCTATTATCTTATCAGGAACACTGTACTTGCTCTCACACTACAAATCACTACACAAATGATTCATAAGACAGAGATAGAGATTCAGCAGGCCTTCTGTGGAAAGTTGTTACACCCTCAGAAATATGCAAACTGAGCACATAAAGTTTTATAGAGGGCACAGGCAATGCTTACATTTAAATAATTAGCAGGTCACGTGTACCGACCACACTGTCACATCTAAATCGCTGAGGACTCAGGTAAAAATGTACCCTCGGACCCAGTGCAGAATCAGTACTGTCAGCACGAATGACAGCAGTCATGACACAAAGGGCCAGATTTAATAAACTGCTTCTGCCTATTTCAGACGTGCCACAAAACCTGCATGTGTGTATGTCTGTGTTATTTATCAGACAGGTGCACTGGCCTGGAAGTGCAGTTGTTAACCGAGGTGCATCTTGTGTGAAATAAGTGTGCCTCTATCCATTGAGGTAGGGTTACAGAAATGACATTAGCATATTTAGCATTTGCTGTGAATTTGTACAGTTTGTGAGAGTCTTTTTTTGTGTGGAATATTCTGTGGCTCTAAAAGGCAGGTGCAATTTTGTGCAGGTAATAAAAGAAGATTGAATTGTGGAAATTTAATTAGTAAAAAACACAGCTTCTTTAAAAGAAAAAGAAGCAGTAATAATAATTTAAAAACTCAACGTGACTAAACATCATTTTCGATAACCATTCATCTGATCGACTTGCCGAGTGTGCTGCAGCACTATGTTGATTGCACTCTTTTGATAAAACTTTAGCAGTTATCTTGGAGTTCAGGGAGACATCAGCCATATCAGTGCCCAAAAACCACACACACAACTGACACTGTTAGTTTGAGCCTTGCTTTTAATCTATAGCATTGACACTGTTGTGTGTCATTGTTCATTCTCTTCTTCTGATATATCCTGTCAATGTAGAAACATTGTGCGTTATTTCACAAAAACAGACCTAACAAATATGCTAAGATAATGAAATGTCTTACACTGTGTTGTTTTAGACACTGTCTGGGCCAAAAGCAAGCCTGCTGTTTGTCTTTGTGTTGGGTAGAAGTAATTTAGCCTCTGGCAGGAAAATGTGTCGTCAGGAGAAAAAAAAAAAATACATGAATAGCTTAGAGTGTGTGTGCAAAGTGCATGCAATTTTGTTAGAAAAGAAGGACTGACAACAGGATCTGCTTGAGCATTTACCCTCTGTTATTGTGAAAAGGGGACTTGACAACCTGTCATCTTCTACCCAACACCTATAATAACGCTGACAGCAGGGTCCAGGAAGTTGTGCCTTCGAGGAGACTGTCAGTGTGTTTTTGTTGTTTGTTGGACCAAAGCACAGAATCTAAAGTAACTGAGACACCAGATTTGATGAAATCATCTGCAGAGCCAAAATAATCTATATATATTACTCATTTAATTCCATACCGAACCAGTCAGTCACATTATTCAGCTTTCAATACATGATTGTAAATTATGCTGTTGATTGATGACTAAGGAGAAGGCACATGGGTTTACTAAAACCAATTTAAGACTCAGTGACTGAAATGAAATCATCCTGACAATCACTCAACAGAACTCAAACATTGAGCTTTGAGATTTGTTTGTCTTTGTGATTAAGCAGGGCTGTCAGGAAGCTTATAAGACTTTTTAGATTTGAATGCCTGTTTGTTTGGGTCATTTCTTATTATAACATGTTTTGTAGTACATGCCGTAAGCTCCCTCTGCCTCTTTCCCCTCAGTCTGACTTGTCAATCACATGCAGGCTGGATGTAAATGATGAAGTCACCTTGTTTCCAGCTATTTTCTGTCGCCGCAACTAACTCAAAAGTGCACCAACTTACACACAAATACTCTGGTTGGTTGCAACAAGCATGCCACAATAACACAATGCACCACACATTACAGACTGACTGATCTGCAACTTCAAATGAACCTGAATATTTACAAATCCCTCTGAAAGACACAAACACTGGCATCATTAGAAAAACAACCCAAAGTTCACAACCCTGTCTAAACATTTAAATTTTTCTCTTCCCTCTCTCCCTGTAGATACAAGACTATTGTGACTTTTCCTGACCGCAGGTCAGTCACAGCTGTTCACATAAAGCACTTTTGACATTTCGTCTTGCCCCCAAACCACATGATAACAGACTTTTTCTACTCTTTTGTCTGTGCCGCTTTGTGTGTCCAACCAGTTCATCACACAGTGCTAAGTATCCATTATCAGAGGACTGATTGTGGCTCATTGTTTCTCTTAGTCATAGAATAGCAAAAACGACTCTTGTCGAAAGCCTGCACATTTCACCAGTGCACAATCATCCCCTTGTAATTATTGGCAGGACTGTTAAGGGAAACAGATGACGACCTGATGTTTGATGAGACTGATCAAATCAGTAACTGCAGAATACCACGGCTAATTTTACTCTTGTCAAAGAACAAATTAACATGTCTCTGTTATCTGTGAGTATAAAAACATAAGTCACAGTTGATTATCATTCCTTTTTTGCCAAACATGGCACGCTTACCTTTCCAACAATATTATGTTGTTTTACTAATATTGTAGCACACAATTCAGTTTTCTTTCCTGACAGTTTACCGTAGTGCTTCTAACAACCCTACCATTAGATGGAAGACACTGCTTGATCAATGCAGTATTGACATGTATGTTGCCTCTGTGATTGGTGTAAGTGATTGATTGGCAAATATAAAGTGTTTCTTTGTTTGCTCAATTATTATCTGTAGCACCATGCTGTCAATCATATTGAACAAAGACTGTAGAGACTGTAAACACAATTGATTTTGATGACATTATAAGGTCACAGCCCACTGAATATTCTAGATGCTCAAACTTACGGATCTAGATTAATACATTTTTACTCCCAGGCCTGTAAAATCTGATTATTATGCTTTATTTATTTTGTAACCAAGAGACAAATTTACATATCAGGTAAAGACTTTTATACAGGAGAAATAATGCAAATATTAAAGACTGAACATTTTAAATACACTTGGTTTGTTCACCAAGTCCAAAGAAAATTAATAAAACCAATTATTTAACTGCAGCTGGAGATTAAAGGAAGGAATAAGACAAGTTCGCTCACAACTATTTTATGCAGTGCTCAAAATGAGACCACAGGTACCCGAGAGGGGATGAGACAGGGAGTGTATTTCTGTGCTCCCTTGCCTCAGGCTTGTTAAATTGGCAGATCGATGATGCTTTAAATCAATGTTCCAGCAACACCACAAACCCCATGGAACCCATTAGTGGATTAAGATAGACCACTGTTCCACACTGAGTCCGGTTCTGCCTGCAGGTCCTTTCCACATGACAAATGGGAGGAAAAACTGTGAAATAAAACAAAGAGAAAAGGGCAAATGAGAGGGTGAGAACAAAAGCTGTGGCAGAGGTTGACAGTAAAGGCTGGGATCAATGCTGCCAGTAAGGACCCACCTGTAGATCTTCATTCAGAGACTCTATCCATGGAGATTTTTTTACTGTATATCAACAAGGAGTCTTATATCTAATCAACCAACGCGTTAAATAATTCCTTCCTGAACATGGGAGAACATCCAGCGATCCATGAATAACATGCTCCACATGCAAAGTAGTCTGTCTCCACCAGTAAACTGAAAAAGGAACAGAGTAGGAAGGGATGTGAGGGTTGTAGGAGAGCAGATGAGAAAGAGGGGGTTTAGGGAGAGGATGCCAGGGGAGCTGGTCTTTCTCTGATAGCATTGTTTATGTGCCACTGTCTGTGGATTATTGATCCATTCGTCTTCATTACGTCTCCCTGTGAGAACTATTAACTGCTGCCACCCTCAGTTGGGTGCCTGCTATGTTGACATGCACTGCACGGTCTCTACCAGCCCACCAATGTCCCTGCGACCTCTCCTCTTGGAGGTAGAAGCTGACAGGTTTATACTGCTTGTTGGAGTACTTTTAAATTGGCATTTACTAGATTATTGTCTTCACCAGGTAGGTTGTCGATCATGGAGGGACAGGTAGATCTTACGACAACATGTAGTACATCACTGCCCTCTAAACAGCACACGTCTGGTGGGTTTCTGTTTGTTTCCACATGCTTTTTCCTGCAAGCTTCGTTTCTGACCCATATAATGTATGTTGCGTAATAATGAATCAAACATCCACCCACTCATTCTCATGAGAAGCATGGTTGCATCTTTGTAACAGAATTTAACATAGTATATGATCTTTAAGTAGTCAGGAAATAAATCCCCATTGGTTTGTTAAAATGTGCAGACTGCTCGGGGATCCTCTGCTGAGTCCCTGCTTAATGCACTCATACCTGCAAATGTCCTCCAAGAGAAATCCTGCTCCAATTCCTGTCTGAACTGTTACAATTGTCTATGCGAAGGATGTTGTGTTCGAACTGCCTCAGCCCAGTGAGACATCATGGGTCATCAGCAGCAGCTTGAACTGCACCCCATGACTCCAATCGACTGCCAAGATCACTTTCACCCTGCTGTGTCAACTCATAGCTTCCCTTCACTTGTGAAATCTGACAAGTTTGACTTGTACTTGTTGTACAGTGTTATTTTTGAGTAAATATGAGACAAGCTGACTGATAACTGCTTGATCTTTCTCTGTCCTCTGTATCTTTCTTCCTTTTCTCCTTTCTGTGCCTCTTTTCTATTTTTTTCCCCATAGAATCAACCACAGATCTGGCCATCCTCATCACTGCCTCGTTTGAGCCAGAGGAAAAGAAAAGACAGAGCATGGTCTGGTGTGGGGGCTGCTGTTGCTATGTGTGAAGGAGTGCTGTGGCGTCAATGGAGACCGAAGGCTATCGTGACCTCCTGGAGACCAGCGATGGTCAGGGGGTAGGCCTGCTGGATGGCGGGGGTGAGGTGGGGGTGGAGGAGGGCTGGAGCACTCCCTACCCTCTGGGCTTTCAGGTGTCTTTGACCACTGTGTTGATACTAGAACTGGTGTTGGGCTTCAGCAGCAACCTGACCGTACTTGTGCTCTACTGTGCTCAATCTAACCTGGTGGACTCAGTCAGCAACCTGGTCACAGTCAACCTCCATGTGCTGGACATACTGGTCTGTGTGCTGTGTCTGCCACTGACTGTAGCTGTGATCCTGCTACCAGCTAACGAAAGTGGAGTCGGCAGCCTGGCCACACTGTGCTGCTTTCACGAGGCTTGTGTCACATTCACCAGTGTGGCCACAGCAGTCAATGTGCTGGTGATCAGTTTGGATAGATATGACATCTCAGTGCGTCCAGCCAGTCGTCTGCTGACCCCCAGGCGTGCAGCACTGCTCCTGGCAGCAGTGTGGGCCGTGTCTTTGGCTGTCTTCTTCCTGCCCTTCCTTGAGGGGGACTTCTTCTCCTCTAGGGCTGAGAACAGTGAGGATGAAGAGCCAGAAGGGCAGAACAATGACTCTGTGCACACCACTGGACTGACCCCCATTTTTTCCTCCTTCTCTCCTTCCTCTTTACCCACAACTCATCCTTCCTCTCCTTCGCACCACCTGCCTCCAGTATGGCAGAACAGGACACTGCTGTGTGTAGGAGGGCAGGGTTATTACACAGGCCTGGCTATGTATTACCACTTGTTACTTCAAGTGCCATGCTTCTTCATTGCTGTGGTTGTCATGTTGTTCACCTACTCCAAGATCCTGCAGGCCCTCAACATTCGCATTGGCTCCCACATGATGAGGGGTACGCGTGCAAAGGACTCCACCTGCAGGATACGCTGCAGGAGGCGGAAGAGGAAGGACCTGAGCCTGCCCACAGAGGTAGTGTCCCCCACCCAGAATCAGAACCTCAACCATCCTCCTCTCATCCCCTCTCCCACCCCTACACCAACATCACCACCACCACTCTCTTCAATGCCCCAGGGGATGTCTGACAGTGGAGCAACTGTCACCACTGTCAGTACTGCTGCCACCACCCCCATTGCCACTACACCAGCCACACCTGCTTCTCCGACCCCAGCTTTAGCCTCTACCCAGGCCACCTCACCACTGCCTGCCTCCTCCATGGGTGTACAGGCATCGGTTTCTGCCATCATCGCTTTAAGGCGGGCAGTGCGCAGGCACAGGGACCGCCGAGAACGTCAACGTCGTGTTCTAAAAATGTCCCTAATTATCATATCCACTTTCCTGGGCTGCTGGGCCCCTCTGTCAGCAGTCAATGTTCTGATTCTGTGTCTGGGTCCCAGTGATGGCCTGGTGCGGCTGCGACTCTGCTTTCTGGCGATGGCTTATGGAACCACTATTTTTCATCCTCTGCTCTACGCTTTCACCAGGCAGAAGCTGCGCCGTGCCCTCAAAACACGTGTCAAGAAAAGGGTAGTGTCCCTTCTGCAGGTGGACCCTGCTCCCAGCGGGGGGACAGTTATTCATAACTCCTGGGTGGAGGGGGAGGCCAGAGGAAGACTCGCAAGTCACGGGTAGAGGCCAGTGATGGCACTGATCGATGTCTCACAGAGGCAGTGAGGGAATGAGTTTGGTTCTCAGAGAATGTTTGCATGTGTGAGTGTGTGTGTGTGTGTGACTTTGAAGTATTGTATGTGTCTTACTAATTTGCTAGAGATGGATCATGTGTATATTTGTGCATGGGTATGGGAAAAATGAGAACCAGTTAGTTTACAAAGATCAAGACAAATCCCACGACCTCTGGTTTCATGTAGACGTGGAGACAGGTGAGTCCTAAGCTCCAATTAGAGCCCTCTTTTGCTGTCCCTACACAGACGCTCATTAGTCCACTTTCTGACTGACAAGGTGGTCACTGTGTCTCCATGGCAACACTGGCCAAGCATTATGACAACACCATAGCCATGGCTACTGAAAATACTAGTGTGCACCCCACAAGTAGGGCAAGGTAACAGCAAATGTATACATTGTTGCTCCTGCGTGTACTTTCAACTTGCATGTGCATGTACATATGCACAGATACACAGATGCAAGCGCACACACACACACACACACACACACACACTTGTCCACACTGATCTATATTAAGTCATTATCTGTGAAAGCACACCAATATCTACCTGCACAGATATTCTCAGTGAGAAAAATATTAATGGAAGTCTATATTTCTCTTTGTTTTCCTTATTTTTTCATGCCTTAATTGAGTTATTAATATATTCTCATGATGCTGAATGTGCTGCTGTATGTTTACAACAATGAAGGAGTAGAGTGACAGTGTTTGCACATACTGTATGGTATAGTAAGTTAATGGCGGGTAAATGCAAGCATTCAGATTCAAAGTTTACAGGCTCATATTAAAACCACCAGGAAACTGCAAAAAAACTGATTCACATTTAATTTCCAGTAAGCACCATATTTTAAAAGAATGTGTGCAAGTTAAAGCTAAAAGGCATGACTTTATTTTCAATTATTTTTTAATAAACTGTAAGAGTAACAGTCATGACTATGAAGGCAAGGATGTGTGATTGTGTTTGTACGTTTGCATGTGTGCATGTATGCGTAAATGGATAAACGAGTGTGAGTGCCGACGATTATGTGCAATAAATAATGAGCAAAGCAATGACCCCTAGGATGTGAACAAACAGAATGTGAACACAGAATTGTTGGTTTTCAATTTATGTTTTAGATTACAGGGGGAAGAGAGAAGAAAGGGGACTTAATATTCTGATTAACAGCATTAGGCCACTGGGTATAATATAAAAGCAAATTACGTGGAGCAATTGTAACTACCCAGGCAACTATAACAGTGTAACATTGTATCACAGTTTTAAAGTGGAAATCAAAGGGCAACATTTTGTGAAAACTGTCTCTGTAGTAACTGCAGGTAAACTAACATCCTAAACCAGAGAAATCCCATGGACATTGGGACATCTCATGTTAGCGGCTCTGGAGTGCAGAGTCACTGCTTCTGGACAGCACTCTGAATGACTGCGGAGGCAGACAGGCCTCTGTCAGCTTCTGGACGGAGTCCTGGACACATTACACTATATCTGTGTCTCTCTTTCTCCTCAGGGCTTCATGTCTCATTTCCAAATGTGCTGGACATAAAACAACAAACCAGCCCTCAATCAACTGTTGTATTATGGGTGTTACAGTAGGTAAAGATTTATGTCAGTAAGTAGATAGAGTACACTTTAAACTTTGTATGGGCTCAAGTCTTGGAGAGCTTCTTGGGATTTGGGCTTTCTCCTTCATCCTCACCCCTTTTACACTATTTGTGAGCCAGACAGAAGACAATAATTCTTGTGTATTCATGTACATTTTTCAGGGATGTAAATATTGAAGTGTCTGTTTTGGGTTTTAGTAAAAGAAAAGAAAAAAAAAAGAAGACTTTTTTTTCTGCTCACAATCATCTGCCGGACAGAAAATCAGCCATTGTGATAAACACTGAACGAGGTGGAAAGTTACTGTAAAGAGAAATAAGTGTATTTGTGTTAATACTGTATGTGTGTACACTGTACTGTACATTTATGACCATGTGTATAGAGAAATATTAGTATTGTATAAGATTTATATTATGTGTTATTATATAGAACAGAAGAGAATCTGTATTAAAAAGGTGATCTATCTAAGAATTGATCCATCTCAGTTCACTGTGTCAATTCATAGATGTTTCATGTTCAATGTATTGGTTGTTGTCGATTTTCAAATACTGATTTCTACTTATTGAGAAATTTAAATATACAGAAAATCTTTTACATGTGTCTGTGTAGATGCATTTTATCTGCTATATGAAGAATAGAGAAATAACGTATGTGGGCTCTTTCCGTTTTCATGACATTTCAGACACTTAACAGAACAGAAATGAAAAAGAGAACAAGGAGAGCAACACAAAAGAAGAAATTGTACAGATTTACATGAAAAGGCACATTGTTTATCAATTTTACAGCCTGGAACATTTTCCTGCAACATGTAATGATTATAGACTTAGTAATCCAAGTTATTCATATAAAAGTGCAGACTGAAAGGTCAACCAACTTTCTGTACATAGTGATGTCTCTGATCATTTGACTATTTAAGAATTAAATTACATTTTGTTATTATGAGTCAGAGCCCTATACATAGAGGGTTATGTGGTCACTGGGTGTCCATCACAGATGCAGTTGTATTTCTACATTCTTAACAGAGAACTGCTTCGATTCCCTCTGCTTAGTGTAACTTGGGAATTCCTCTATCCTTCTTCCTCTGGACATTACTGTCTGAATTTGTCTCTTTTTTTCCAGCTGTCCCTCTCTTTCTTCATCTCCCGTTTCCACTCCCTGTTTCTCTGATCCCTAAATATAGAAACTCTGTCCCAGATACTTGCGGTATTTAGTGCTGACTGTAGTGAACCCTCACTGTGATGTGACAACTGTGCTAATCACCAGTACTAATGAAGATGAAACTTGTTAGTCAGGTAAGCATCTGTCGAGACAGCTCAATCTCTTGATGTTGACACTTAATTTTTTATTTTACCAGAACAAATCTGTCTGCGCATGTGGTGTGTGTGTGTGTGTGTGTGATAGCATTTGTTGCCTTACTGATTTATGCATTAAATCAATGTTGTAGATTCCTCCATCCTGCTTGATAATCTCATCAGTCCCTTCCTCTTTCACACCCTCATTTCCTCCGTTGGTTCTCCTTGTCTTTATTCCACCCGTCTGCATCTCTCTCATCTCTTATCCACACTCAGGCCTTCCAGAACAAAGCGAGGAACAGCTGCAGTGTCTGTGAAGGAAGGAAAGTCACCTTGGGGGATGACAGAGGAACAAAAAACGTGAGGGAGAGATAGAGCAAGAGAGAGAGAGAGAGAGAGAGAGAGAGAGAGAGGCAATATGGAGGGGAGATTAGGGGGGAAAGAGAGAAGAGATGGGAGGCATGGCGTAGAAGCTGGCATCGGGACATCATATGACTAATAAAGGGACAGCACTGCATCACTGCAGAGCCCCATTTGGAAAAAAGAGAAAAAACACTAAGTGCAGAATGATAAGATTAACATGCTTCACTGTTTTCTACCACTGTTGGCCCAGTAGAGTCTTACAATATTGCTCCTGTCCATTATACTGTGAACACTTGGGTGTCATCCATAAGTCATAAGTCACAATAGACAACAAGTAAGTATTTATAGACTCTCCCCTCTTTTGTGATTTATGGCAAAGTATTCAACCAGTAGTGACTCTGACAAATGTTTGGCCACTGTCTGAGCGAAGTAATGGATGGGAATAAACAACAACTAGCTGCTCTTTTACCTGATCTTACTGTAGCTGCTGGACCTAGTGCTTTCAGAGGGCATCTGATATTATGCATATTTAATAGATTTTAATGTTATCTGATGCTGAGTTGATTAATCGATACAGATCTGATGTGTTCAAAAAGCACTCTACGTATTGTAAAATGTAAACTCCAGAAGTGGCTGGAATGATCACAAAATACACTGCATTTAACATCATTACACCTATGATGATGAATTATTTTTATATATCTAGATTATAGAGTAGGCTATGTGTTAAGTAGCCTATATTTATTTTTTGTATAAAGTAAATGTTTATGATTTTGTTTTTGGGAGCAAACAGCTGGTAAATGAAACAACACCTTGATTTCATACAAATTCAACAACCATTCTTTAAATGCAAAGTAACAAAGTAAAACTGGTTGAGATAGAGGCTTAAACTGAACTAGACATATAACGTTAGTAAGGTAGGAACAGGACATATATAAAATACATTCATAAATTAAAGAATAAATACATTTTCCGAGGACAGAGGTCCACAGTGAACAGTATCAAGCAGTGTCAGACAGTTTGTTTTATGTTCAACAATGGCGCCTCCTTGTGTTCAAACGTTAGCTACAACAACTCTAACATTTTGCTGTACACGATGAAATATAGGAGATTGTATTTACTTCACTGTTCTCCTCTTACTTGGTTGCTAATGTCTTTATGTTTGCTTCCAAAATCAGGGTCCTGTTTAAACCTCCTTCGGTTTCCTCTCGGGTTTCTCTCCACCGTATTCAGGATGATCTCCGCGGTCAACAGCGCTGTACAGCTAGCTAGAAAGTTAGCTAGCCTCAGTAGAAAGCGTACTTCACATAAAACGTCTGTACATAAGTTACAACCTCGGAGGTATAGTCTCCAAAATACCGTAGTATCACTTATTATAAACAGATTTTTATGTTTGTACTTCATGTCTGCGCCGAAATAGCTCAGTTGGGAGAGCGTTAGACTGAAGATCTAAAGGTCCCTGGTTCGATCCCGGGTTTCGGCAGCAAATGTGAACGTACTTTTTCCCGTTTTTATTCTACCGCCTCTAAACACGGTAAAACATGGAGCATTGCTAATTAGCTCAACTGATTGAAGTATGTTTGATGATCAGCTTACCTACGGTATATTTACTAAAACAAAAACGTAGACAACGAAGGAAAGGTACTTTATAACACGTAAAATCTCACATTCAAAGCACAGAAAAGATGATTAAAAGCTTCAAGTCCATCCAAGCGTTAGCCGCAAAACTTACCCAAAGCTAAAGTTGACAATTAAAGATGAATGTGTAGAGAAAAAGTATTTTCACTGTTTATATTAACTTAGTGTATACCATTGCATATACGTTATGTTATGTATCATAAGCAGCATTTAAGTGCACCAGTTGTTTGTGAAAATACACACAAATCTTAACAATTAGAGATTTTGGCTTTTAATAAGTTCACTGCTATTGTGAAAAGTTTTGTCTCTTGTGTTAGTGTTGCATTAGATTGTAGTATATCAGGGGGAAATATCATATTGAAGTTTCACAAAGGTGTTTTTAATCGTTTGGTGATTTTTTTTTTATCTGTAAAGAAATTGTGAAATAAGAAATTGCCTTCAGCATTTCCCTCTGAAAATAGTTTAGTAGCTACTAGTAGCTAAATGAAAGCAGGAAATACTCAAGTAATGTAAAAGTACCTCATGCTTGTACTTAAAAAGTTTAATTCACCTTGTTCTCTATGTAGAATATTTTTATGTTTATAGTTACAGTTTTCTCGTGTTCAGTGTTTAACAGTTGGACTGATAGCACAATTACAGAAAACAGTTATTTATACCAAAACTAACATAAACTAAAATGGATCCAGTTCACATGGACGTTCACCAGGGGGCGATATTGTCAAACATATCATTGGACTGGCGCTCATCCTTAAATGAAATAAAATACAGTCTGCAGTTCATCTGAGGGCAGTTGACTTTGTTAGTTAGGACGTTTAAATAGCCTAGATATTGAGCATTAAAAACATAAATTTTAGTTGTTGCTTAAAGCAAAAATGTATTATTATTATATTATATATTGTGGAATAGATGTGACAAATGTTTTTTATTAGACACCTTCTGAATTGGTGTGTTTTAAGTGTTTTAAACAACAGTATAAACTTGACTATTGGATTTAATTTTTACAATTTCAGGTCATCCATGTCCACATTATACCTGTGCAAGAACAGAACATCTCTGTTCTAGAGAAAGGTTAGGGGGAAGTACGAAAGTGTTAAAGAAAAAATGTTTAAGAGTTGATTCCTGAGTTAAGTTCCTGAGCTATTTTCTGTTATAGCTGCATAATTAATCAAAATGGCAATATGGCCAGGTGCAGTTTCCAAATTGCAGAAGCTGCAATTTTTTGTTAAGGGTAAAATATGTGACACAACAATATTATGATAAAGTACTGCAGTGCTGAAGAGATTCCCTGGTCTACAAAATGTATTTCAGTGAAAATGAAAATTGTCCCTCTAATCATAAAATCCCTCAAAATAATTGCAATATGACTTTTTTACCATGTTGATCGTGCAGCCCTATTCTTGTATGTATTTTAAAGGCCCATCTAGTAATGGGCATTGAAGATTATCTTAAGATATAAATGCGTTAGTATGTAGCATTGTTTCTATATACTTGTCCCTATACAAATAAGAACCTCTCAACAACAAGGCAAATTAAATTAGATGTAAAGATACTTTACTATAGTTTTATCTCAGCAGTTCTTAGATATAGAGACCTGAATGAGAAATGTAACCCATTGGACATCACCGGGGTGTCAGCATCTTAAGGCTTTTTTTTTTCTCATTCAGTTTATTGAGACGAGTGGAAGGATAGGGGGGTGTTCAGTTGATCTTATCTCATATGCTGCTGTACAATGTGACCTGATCTGGCAACTGCAGTGGAGTAGTAATATGTATAAAGCCAGATTTGTGGTTCTTCTTGTAGCATTATGCTAATTTACCATTTACCTTCTTTACATTCACCTTGTTAATTATTTCTGAATGAAAATAACTTTCCTTAGCTGTACAATTTCACCTCAAAAGACTATAAACCTGCAATGTCTAAGGGTTTATTAATCCTCCCAATTGGACGCCCTGGTTATATTTCGTCTTCCACTCTGTGGTGACTTGCCCACATCAGCGCAGCCCTTTGTTAAGTGAAGGTTTAAAGGCACCTTCATCCCCAACAGTTTAATGGAAATGACTCACATTGACCATGTGACCTCATTGACTCTTGTGGGTTGTCACGGTGTGAATAACTCACACAGGTTAAATGCTGGGAATTCACCACCACTCACTGAAGAAACCTTTTGGACAAGTAGCAACATGTTTTTGAATTTTAGAATAGAAGTCCACAATGTTTATTGTTTAGACAGTTTTTGGTTCTGGGCTTTTAAAATGGATTTATATGGAACAATATGGACTCCCACACACTGTCCTCTTCACTTGATTGATATTTTTCTTTAATTATTTTTTCTCTAACGTCATATCCTCATTTTCCTTGTCTATGGACAGGTTATACATATATATATATATACTTTTTAAGCTCCAACAATTTTTGAACTTACACATAATTTATATCTTGGTTTGGTAGGTTTTCTTTATTTTGACATTTTTAAACATACTAATTCTGTTTCACTGTCACATATTGTGTCAGGATTTTTTGCTCTGATGTGATTATGTATACTGTTTGATTCAGTGAATGATGTCAGTCTGCAGTCTGACCTGTTTGGTCTTGTTCCATATAATCCAATTAGTGATGTCAGTCTGTAATTTGGCCTGATTGACGCGGTTGGGAAATAGATAACTCGCTTTAGTTGAGAACCGGTTCGGAATTGTCCGATCCATCGTAATCTTTTGCCCAAGCTTTTTCAGTTCATTTTATAACCATTTATGCAGCTGGAAACCACAAGAAGGAGCCTTGGCAGAGAGGAAGAAACGGTCCAAAGCGTGGTTTCATATCACATAGGAATATGACAACATTGCTAGTTGTAATATCTGTAAAATTATCTTTTCAAGTAAGGGTGGGGAAAAAAAGCCATACGCTGAAACATCTTTCTACGCAACATGGGCTCAAATTCAAGGAATGCCATGTATTTAACACCCTACGCACAAGTGCCACTGCTTCCCCACTGAGCAGCATGTCCATTATCTCCATTACCAAGAGAGAATATCCTATGTTATAATAACATTAGCGCCTCGCAGGCAGGCTTAGCAGTTTTTTCTTTGACCAAGAAAAAGTAATGAAAACAAATACTGTACAAGAACCAGTTCTAAATAAAACAGTGGAGCTTTTTCACACTTGACTCACAAGAATGCCTATTTTAGAAAACTGATCAGTTATCAAAAAGGGAATCGATAGAGGATTGCACCGATAAGCAGAATCAACAATGTCATTGGTATCAGTAAAATCTTACCAATTCCCTACAGATTCATCCATCTATATTTAAGATATAGGCCTTCACCTTAATCTGGTAACTTAATAACTTGAGTACCAGTCTGTACCTTAACATTTCTCTGACTGTAAGTTAAGAGGACAGTGTGTGGAATCTTTTGAATCACAGGTGTTCAAAAGTTTTGCTGTTCCAAAAATGGGTTCATACGAAAGCAGCTGTGGTCCTCCCCTGGTGTGGGAAGGTGTGTGTGTGTGTGTGTGTGTGTGTGTGTGTGTGTGTGTGTGTGTGTGTAACTATATTCAGAGCTCAAATGAACAATAAACACATGTCATGACTGTGTTTCATCATATCCCTCGTTTCACACGTAATTTTATTATGTATTTCTCATCGGCAGCAACCTGACACTCCTCCTACACCCAGTAATTCTCTTTCTGTTTACCCCTTTACTTTCTCTCTGCAGAAGTTCCTTCTCTCTTGTGACGTCCTTACACACATGTTGATCTTCCACCGTGACTTTTGTTGTGTTTTTTTTTTTTTCATTATTGTTCTCATTATAGAAATATATATATATATAGAAACATGGTCATTTGTCCAACTTTTGCAACACTAATCACAAACATTGGTTTCAGAGTAAATGCTCTTCCAGGACCTCCTCGCTCTCTTACTGCCTGCTGTCCATCTGCCACATGTGTCTGTGTATTCTGACCTTTGTACACAGTAAACTTTTTTCATTTCTGTCTATGCATTTTCACTTGTCTATTGGACCGACCGTTTTTTTTGCATGTGACAGTCCACCAGTCAAGATACCACTCCTTAGTTTATTTATACACACCTTTCCCAGGGAAGACTGAACCCGATGCACTCTGAACACGACACGTGACATGTTTATTTTATGTGTTTGTGAAGCAGACAGTAGGAGAGGCAGTGTTAGAACTTGTCTTTGAGTTGCAGAATTGTTTACAACTATTCCTCTTTATTAAACACTATTTATGGGGTCTTTCCTTCAAGAGACAAAACATTAAGGAAACTTCATAAACAGGATTTTGTTTTTTTGTGTTTGTGTATGTTTTCTTTACCCCTGAAACATGCCAAATTCATAATTGAACACAATTATTATGTACCAGGAGACATAGAAGTAGCATGCTGTAAACCTAATGCTTTGTTTTACGCAACTAGCACGTCATGTTCTGTGTTAATTTGCTGATATGCAGATATTCACCGGAAAAAGGACACAGAAAAAGCTGAAGGACTAGAATTTCTGTATACATTTTTTTGCTATTAGTCAAAGTATAACTCCTAACATGTAACTACTAGTGTTATTATGTAACAGACCTTGGGATAAGGCAGTGGTTGCAAAAGTCTGGCATTTATCCCAAACCATGATGTTCTTTCACAACCCAGCAAAACATGAAAAATTCACATTT